TGTCCATTTTTCCACAACCCCACTGTCACTGTGCTGGTCGAGGCCACCATCATCTCACCTGCTTCCTGGTAAATGAGCCCACATTTGTCTCTCGACAGCCTTGGCATCTACCATTCATTCCCCTGCTCTAACCCTGGGGCACTCTCCTCCAGTTCCTTCAAAAGCGCACCAGGTCCTCCTCATCAGGATGGTCTGCTCAGGGAACTCAGATGAGCAGCCCACAGGAGGAGAGGCGGGCAGTAGACAGCATATGCAAGGTGAGCTCCAGAGGCAGAGATGGAAGTCACCGGCAGTGAACACTGGGAGTAAAAACCTCACTGAGGCGCAGCTCAGCAGCAGAGCAGGGGTGTGCTTACCCAAAGCTCGTTAGAGAGGGGAGTCAGACCCCAGCCAGGAGAACCAACCGAACTTGTCAGCAGACGGTCACAGGCCCCAGTGACAGCTACCGCCCAGGGCACAGGTGCTCCCAGCCGTCTGGCTGCCCACAGAGCTGAGTGCCTGTGTGATGAGAACTCACCACCCCAGCTCTGGCCCAGCCAGCACTGCTCAGACTCCCCCGGGAAGCAGATTGAGGAAGCTTTTTACAAATGCAATGCCCAGGCTTCCTGGGTGCTCGAGGACGGCAGTGGAAGCCCAGGCTCCCTCCCCGAGGAGGCACGGGGCACCGGATGACAGAGCAGAGCCACCTCCCCCACGTGCCTGAGGACCTGGCCCTGCGGCTCCCCCGACCTCCCGGCCCCTCTGCGCAAAGAGCCCTGGTGAGATTCCTCTGAGCTCCTCCAGCGGCCGGATTTGATGGCCGTCTTACTCAGACCTCAGGATGGACCGAGGACCAGGGACGGATGCTCATGTTAGTTTCGACTTGACGTCCCTCCTGGTCCATAGGAAATGTTCTGATGCACACAGACTGTGCTAGCTAGCTGGGGCTGCGGTGATGGGCGGCTTGAACAGCAGAAACGCATGGTCTCACGTCTCATCAACGTATCGTCTGCAGTCCTGGATCAAAGTGTCAACGGGGCTGGTTCCTTCTGAGGCTGTGGGGGACACTCTGTTGCGTGCTCTTTCCCCTGGCTTCTGGGGGTTGTGGACAACCTCTGGCATTCCTTGGCTTGTAGAGACATTGTCCGCTCTCTGCCGTCGTGTGGCCTGGTCCTCTCCCTGTGAGCACGTCCACTCCAGAACCCCCGACAGCACCCAGGAGCACTCCCAGCCCGGCCCAGCAGGCCCGTCCGCACCTCCAGGCAACCAGCCAGCACACAGGCCCACAAACAAGAAGAAATGGTTCTCATTTTAAGTTATGGGGTATTTTCTTGGGCAGCAATAGCTAAGGGATACATCAACTTTCAACATTTATCTACCTGTGTGCTCATTGGAAGAAAATACGTTCTGGACCAGATGACAAAGGGAACAAATGTTGAGTCTAATTAACCAAGGTTTCCAAGTGAAGGGTCTTCTGACACCGGTTACCTTATGAGCAGCTTCCAGCACCAGGCGGGGTGGGGTGGGGGGTAGGTCAGAGGCCTTGGTGCGGAGGGGTGTTGATTACCAATGATACTAATAACCAACAGTTAATGGACGCTGTGAGTGAGAAGTACTGCCTGCCATGCTGGAGCTGCAAACTCCTGTGTGTCCTGGCTCCCCCCTGCCTCTTAGGAGCCGTCCCTCAGAGCGACCTGAGAGGCTGTCATCCCACGCTTAAGTCCTCAGAAATGTCCACTGGATAACTTTAAGGTTGTGCATTTTTTTTCAGTTGACGATACTAATGATTGTAATACATCTACCATAATAAATATTACTTTAACACTAAATTATTAATATTTTATATAATGATATAAATTTTTTTTGGAGCTAAATCTCTGTGTGTTTAACCATAAGGGGAAAGGAGCTTATAAAAGTCACACTTTGAATTCAAGAATCCAGTGTGGTCTGCCCTCCTTGGTTCCCAGCCTTTCTTCTTTCTTTTTCTAAAAAGAGTGAAGTCGCAAAGAGGAGAGATCCAGATTCTAGAGTGTAGCCAGAACAGAACCAGCACCACAGTCAGTGAGCTGAGCTGTCTGGGTTGGTTTAGGGCTGAAGGACACCAGGGCCCGCAGATCAAGGCCGTGGAACCCTGTTGGCCCCGGGAGCTGAGATGTTCAGTTTCAGCCAGGACCCTCTGGGATCTTGAGGAAACCAAGGGAATGTGTCATGCCTGGCCAACAATTTTGAAAGAACTTTCTTCCAGGTTCGCCTGATCCCTCAAGCTGTACTAAGGCAGGCTTCACCACAGGTTCTAATGTCACATAATCCACAAGACACATTGTCCAGTCCTAACCTTTCCCTTTGGGAATTCAAAGTTCCCTGCATCAAAAAAATTTTTTTCTTGTTTCTTTATATGGTGTTTCACACTGCAGAGGTACTCTTTCTACTTTTAAGCAGATAAACCCCCTGTTGGAAAGTGGGGCCTGGCCCAGTCTGACCTCATGGGTCAAGGGACATGCTCTTACCCCACCCATCTAGGGAGCTAATTATAGGTCAAGGCTGTCACCTGTGTCTCTGAACCATCATGGATGGGAGATTCCTACAGCCCCTCCTTGGGTTCCATTAACTTGCTAGCGCAACTTACAGAGCTCAGAGAAACATTGCACCTAACAGATTACCGGTTTATTATAAAAAGATATAATTTAGGAACAGCCAAACAAAAGAGATGCTTAGGGCAAGGCATGGGCAAGGGTGAGGGGTATCCATGCCCTCTCCCGGCACCCACTCCCCCAGTCTCTGCCTGTTCACCAACCTGGAAGCGCTCTGAGTCCAGTCCTCGCGGATTTTTAAGGAGGCTCCATTACACAGGCATGTCTGACCATGTCATCAGCCGCTGGTGCCTGAGGCAACCTCCAGCCCCCTTCCCTCCCTGGAGGTCAGGGGGTGAGAACGGAAGATCCAGCCCTCTAATCACAGGGTTGGGCCCCCTGGCACCTGGCCTCATACTTGGTGCAAAGTCACCTCATTAACATAACAAAAGACACCTTTATTGCTCTCAGCACGCAGGTAATTCCCACAGTTTGCCAGAAATTAGAGGAAGACTAAATATGTGGATCTAGTTGTAAATCACAAATCTTGTAGGTCGAGTGTTCTGTGGTCCTTCTACACCCAGCTCACCGCGTGCCCTCGTCTCAGCGCCCACCCTGGCCCCCACGCTGCAGTCTGCCCTCCGTCTGGAAAGAGCGTTGAAATTGGGAACTGAGAAAACTGAAAACTATTCTGACTGTAAATGATGAAAAAAATGTTTCTTTCTTCACAATGAAGAGATTCATTTTGGCAGTATTCAAAAGGGAGGAGAGTTCCTAAAAGTGAATCCTTTTAGACCAGCCATTCTTTCATTTCATCTGTTGAACTTATAAACAGAGAGCCCGTGGGTGTCCTCATGTGACTGGAGTTAGACTCGGGAAGTCTGATTCCCTTGCGGGCCACGTCTGACACAATTAGTGGTAATTAGAGATCCTCGTTTAGCGAGCACGCGATGCCCTGTACTCAGGACGCCGGGTCCTTGCCTCCCGCAAAGCCCTCGCCAGCCTGCGGTCCCCCTGCAGCAGCTTGCTGCAGGGCATGCTGGGCTGGGCTGGGCTGGGCTGGGCGCCAGTCAGGACGAGTGTGTACCTGAGTGCGTGCGAGGCGGGCTCTAGGGCCATCCCCAAAGCCTTTCTGTAAACAGTTTTTCCACTTCTGAAGAGTGTTTTCAAATAAATGAATAAGATAGAGACAGAGAGAATGAGGGCGCGCAGGAGCCAGCCCCTGCACAGCCAGAGGGCTCTGCCGTCCCTGCCCA